TGCACTGAAAACTCAGACCACTTACCAACTAGTGCAGGGGTTTTCAAAGTGTGGGGTGCCAGAGCATGTCAGGGGAGGCGCGCAGAGTAGTAGAATAATAATTAATTATTGAGTACTAATTTGAATCGGTACATTATAACGAAAATAATACCTTAAAAATGAAAAGAAGCTGGCTTTTGCGATCACATCATTTTAAACTGGTAAACTCCTGGAAAGTCCAAGGATCCAGTAAATGATTTCAGACAGTAAGTTCAAAACAGTGCTAATGCAGAGAAAACATGGCTGATTTCATCAGAGATTGCTGAGAGAATAGTGACTTACATCCAGATGTCATTCAATTATTCTGTTCAGCGTGTATTTGGCTTAAAAGCAAGAGTGTTTATAATAGACGCTGGCTGAAGGTGGTCAGAGGTTTAGCGATTCTGAATGGATCCATATAGTAGGTTTAGTGGTCTTTGGCTGTGGCCTGTGGTCCTGTTTGGTATGGCAGCTTGACTTGTGCTAAGTTGTATTGAAACCTTTTATGATTGTGGCACTATACAGACATTGTGAATTATTAAAAAGTACTTATTTACTTAAGTAAATGGGGGGGTGAGTACCGGCACTTCTTTTTTTTCTTTTTTTCTTTTTCACTTCAAGCTCTGATCATAGTAGTCATTTGAAAATTAAGTAGTCATTTTGATAATAGTCAATAGAAAAAAATATAACCACACACACACACACATTGTTTGTCCACAGAATAATTGCACATTATTAAATAAAAAGCGTACCCGCACGAACCTCTACCTCCGCCAGCAGGACCTCAATTTCAGACTCGGTAAAGTTTTCTTTTTTTTGTTTGTTTTTTTTCCCCCTTTGTGCTCGTCATTCTCAAGCATAGAAATTCGGATATTGGCGTGTGCGTTTACAAGGCGGAGATCTGACACCAGTCAGCTGCGCACAATTTCAAGATCATTTGCGATTTATAAATGCCACATCTGGAAGAGAGGCGCACGCACGTGTTTTTTTGCGCACGTTCGTTTTCTCCGAATCGCGCGCACTTACACACTTTTGAGAAATGATCTTAGAACAAATTTAGGACGGTTTATACGCAACATTTTATAAATGAGGCCCGTGATGCACAGGTAATGTCTTCTGTCATTCACACTATAAACGGCCTTCACCAACTCTGTCCATCGCACAGTTCTCCACAGGTGTGCCACAGCTGTGAGCTTGTGCCAAAACCAGCTTAAGAGCATCAAACGCTCCCGAGAGCTATTTCTTTTACCTGTCTGAGGTGAGCTTTTCATGTGAGACATGGACAAGCGCTCTTCACAAGCAAGTAGAGTTATTGAAATCCATCTCAAATATTACCGAGGCCGTGATCGCAGAGGTATGTTTTATGGGTTGTTTATGCATGAAGCCGTATCTCTTTGACAGGAGCTGTCCACTGTCACATCATGCCATGCAGGACGCTTGACGTTTGCCGGTGTCTGACACTTGTGGGATTAAGAAAATAGTTATTCCAGGACCGCAGAGCCGATGGAAGACATTCATATAGAGCATGCCATTTTATATAGAGGTATAACCAACCACTGCTCTGACTGTCTTGTGGATTTGAATTAATAGCTATAGCTCGGTTATCTGCACGTTATTAACAATGAATCCTG